TGTACGGAGCGCTCCCCAAGTGGAAAGGTAAGTACACAATAAATAATTATTATTATGAAAAATGTTTTATCAAATTCTAATAAATCCTGCTTAAATTCTGGACGTCTGTGTTCAAATTCACCGTGTTTTCTGTGCTTTGTATTTGAGCCATTTCAAGGAACAGTCGTTTTTTCAAGTTAGGCTTCCTGTCTAATATCTTTATGTCATCGAAATTGAAGTGGTGGTTTTCACAGAAGTGGTGTAACGCAAGTGCCGTTCTGTGGTTATGTGCATTGATAACATTGCAATCTCTTTTATGTTCTAAGACCCGTTTCCTTATGTGTTGTTTGGTTTGGCCAATATAACAATTATTGGAATTGCCACAGGGTACCTGATAAATTACATTGCTCTGCACACTTTGATAGAAAACCCATGGGCAGTCGAATACATCTCAGATTTGAACAGCAAAGTACTATATCCTGAAGAAGCTCTGGCAGAAGACATTTTTGTAAATTCTGTTAAAACTCTCAAAGATGAATCATTACAAGTTGATCTTCCTTTAAAAAATCCAAATGAACACTTGAAATTAGGTAGCTCGATCGAACAGGTAACAAGGCGTTTTATTAGCCTGGAGGAAAGGTTTAATAAGGATCCATATCTATTTTCTAGGTCTAAAGAATTCATTCAAAAATATCTCTCACTAGGCCACGCAAAATATGTCCCATTATCACTGAAAAACGAGCATAATGAAAATAAATATTTTATTCCTCACTATTGTGTCATCAAAGAAGAAAGTTTGACTACAAAGTTACGAGTTGTTTTTGACGCGAGCATGAAATCTTGTTCTGGAAGCTCTCTCCTCTCTCAATGACATAATGTTGAAAGGTTTTGTCATTTCAGTCAGAACTTTTTGATATTTCGTGTCGTTTTCGAAGTTATTCCTATGTCCTCAATTGTGATATAGAAAAAATGTATAGGCAAATTAAAATAAATCCTTGCCAAAATTTCTTAAGATGAAATCTCCTGTATAGAATTACAAACCATTTCCTTGGCAAAAGGAGCTGTTCGTAGTCACTGTTACGTTGATGACATTTTGTGTGGTAGTGACACAATAACCAATCTACCATTTCTATACTAACCTTTAACATTTATTCAAAGTTGCACATTTCAATCTCCATAAATGGAGTACGAACTCGTCTGAGTTTTCCAAAATATTTTACAAATGTTAATCACTTTAGTAAAGTGCTTGGCGTTACTTGGAATCCCACTCTTGATGAATTTTCCATATTCTCACCAAAGTCCTGTGACGAATGTAAGCCAACTAAACGTGAAATTTTATCAACAATTGCACAATTATTTAATCCGTTTGGTTTAGTCGGTCCTATAATTTGAGTAGTAAAATCTGTTATGCAAAAAATTTGGATCTCAGGAGCTGACTGGGATGCAGAATTACCCGTAGAAATATTAAATGTTTGGAATGTATTTATTGGACATCTACCTCCTCTGATGAATTTGAAAATTCCTCGATTCCTGTTTCTACCTAAGACTGTAAATAGGTTGAAAATACACGGATTTGCTGATACCAGCCCAGAGGGTATATGGTGCTTGCATTTATTTTCGAGCCATTTATGATGATGATACTGTATCTTGTTGCTTGATAACCTCTAAAGGTAGAATAGCCCCCATAAAAACGCTTACTCTACCAAAAAAACGAATTATGTGCAGCACTGCTACTCTCGAAACTCAGTGAAAAAATTCTCTTAGTATTTAAAAATAGATTTACCATTTCCTCTGTCAACTTATGAACAGACTCCCAAATAACATTGTGCTGGATTAAATCTATTCCTTCCCGTTTCTCAGTAATTGTTTCTAATCGAATTTCAGAAATACAACAAATGACGAGTATTTGTGTTTAGAGACATGTACGTTCTGCTGATAACCCTACTGATTTGTTGTCTTGTGGTATGTCATCTGGTGCTCTAATCAATTGTCATTTGTGGTGGCACGATCCAAATTACCTCGAACTAAACTTAATGGATTCCGAAATTGAAATAAAGTTTACAAATATCTCCGAAGAAAAGAAAACTACGACTGTCAGGTAGACTTTCGGAAGAATATTTTTCTCAAATTTTCCTCCTTTAGTAGATTAAAAAGAACTCTAGCCTTTTGTATAAGATTTATCAATAATTGTAAAATCAACAGAGAAAAGAAAAGTGGAAAAAATGTAGGTCCCTCAATAGTCAAGGAAATATGAACCTCAGAAAGGCTGTTGGTAATGAAGTTGCAGGAAATTCATTTCTTTGATGAAAATACAAAACTCAAATCTCAAAAAATAGTTTCCAATAAAAGCATCTTTCAACTTTCCCCATTTCTCGACGACCCAGGCTTACTTCGGGTAGAAGGACGCCTTTCTAAATCAAACCTTTCATTCGAACAAAAATAGCCAATACTGTTACCTTCTAAAAATCACATCGTCTCTCTCATGCTCAAATCCGAACATATTTGTTTAGGTCACGCAGGCGCACAGTATGTTTCATCAAACTTTCGACTGCGTTATTCGTCCCTTGGTAGTTTAATACAAATAATGAAAATAATTAGAAACTGTGTCATATGTTATCGATTCAAGGCCATTACCACTAATCCAATTATGGCCGATCTTCCAAAAATGAGAGTTTCCCCATCTAGACACTTTTCCAATGTGGGAGTCGACTATGAAGGCCCGTTTCTTGTGAAATCGTCTAAGCTAAAACGTGCTTCTCTCAATATTGCCATTTTTGTGTGTTTATCAACTAAGGCAGTTCTCGCAGAACTTGTGTCGGGGCTGTCTACCGAAGCCTTTCTACTAACATTAAAGCGATTTATTTCTTAGATCCTCAGTTATTTATTACCCGAGTCAAGATAGCATTTGACCTAGACAATAATAATATAAAGCTGATTTTTGGTAGAGATCATGCCTGAAGCTTAAATTGCAATATACTAAAAGTCCTGGCCAATCCTCCTTCCGCAACCCCCTTTTTTCACCCCCTAACCCCCACCCTATTAATATTTTGATGATTTTCTCTGAAACTATCCACTTTAAGGAAAAATGTCAAGAAAGCATTTTTGAAGCTGACAAAATTTCCCTTGCAACGACGTATTGCGAGCCCATATAGTGCCACGTGGTACGCACCAGTGGCGTATTAAATGAAGGGTAACTTTTAAAAAATATACTTTTTGCTATTTATTCTCAGTTTTTGTGATCTAAGCATCATTTTTCTAGAAGAAATATATTTTTATCTAAAACAACCATTAAAAAGTAGTCTACTTGCGAATCTTTAGGAAGTTTATCGCAATTACTTCAGCCAAAACAAATTGGAAGTTTATCCGAGACTTCTCAGCTATCAACTTGCCAAATAACAGGTGCGGCTAGCGACCCGCGCGACGTTGAGGTAGGTATCTTTTTTATCTTGACTGCGCCTGTGCAACAGAGTCCAATGGGAAGCGAGTTTGTCACGTGTTTGCGTCATATTTACATTCAGGGTTAGGACTCTGTAACGAATACAGACATTTTCTCTATTTGTCCCCTCTCTATATAATAATTTCGAAAAAAGAGAAGAAAACAGGAAGTGCCATAGCGATAGGGATATCGATCTCTATTCGTTACAGAGTCCGGGCCCAGGAGCGAGTTCAGAAGTAATCGTTCCTTCTTTGTTTGTAACGTGTAATTCGACAAAAAGCGAACTAATACTTTAATCTATCACTTCTGAACTCACCGCATTGTTGTTTAAAAGTTACTGTATTCCTTTTAAACATCGAGTTACACCGAAAGTGTTGCCCTAGAGCTCCTCGGAGTCACTCCAAAACACAAAATTCAGATATTATGATTATTCTTCAATATTAACATTACCTAAAAGTGTTTCTTTCACCCCTCGCAAATTTGGCGCATCAGGGGAGCGACTCGAGTGCTTAACACACTTTTAAAAAGAATGTTCAAACTTTTGACATTGAGCAGCTCCGAGTAACTCAACGAGTAAAAGGAATACAGGTATTATGTACTTGATATATTCCTCTCAAAATTTGCCTCTCTAGCATAAAGCATTGCGCCCCTTTCAGTGTGTTTGTTTAGTTCATTGTATTTTTCTATATTGTTTAATTGAATATGGAGAAATGTGTTTTGTGTAAACTGCCACTAAGTGAGCGTGTTATTACTAAAGTTGGTGAAAAAAGACTGAAAACATTACTGACTGCTAGTGAAAAGCGTTGTGATGGTCTACGTGAAATTTTTAAAAACATGAAATCAATCGAAGTGCATCAGGAATACAGGTGACAAATTTTGAATATTCATACGCCATTGCGGGCTAGGAAGATAAAAATCTGATAATTGATGATCGTTTCTGTTTTTAGAAAATCCTACACGAGAAATGATACAATTTTGAAACATAATCGAGAACAAAATGAAGAAGCTAGACCGTCACAGCAATCATGCTCAACTGCAACCTTTCGTTCTGAAATTCCGAATTATAACAATAAAGAGGTTTGCTTATTTTGCGGTAAGTCGGCGTCCAGACGATTGGAAAAAAATAAAAAGTATTACAACCGGAAAACAATCATACAAGTAGCTACTATTTCGATAAAAGGAAAAATTATGTCTGAAGTTGTCGCCAGAACTGATAAGTGGGGTGAAGAAGTTCTGATTCGCATCGGAACTTGCGGAGATCTGGTTGCGGCTGAAGCCAAATATCACAAGGACTACCGTCTCCTATTCTCTTCGGGAGGAAAGGTAGAAAAACCTGGAGATTCGCGAGGTCGACCGAACGATAGCCAGAGGCATGAGGCGTTTTTGAAAGTTTGTGAGTCTGTTGAAAATTCTGATGAGTGCAAGTTTTCCATAATCGTCTTAGAGCTTGAAATTGAAAAAGTATTTAAAGACATGGATTGCGAGCCTTACTCTCGAAAACAGTTTCCAAGGAAGTTAGTCAATTACTTTGGAGAACGAATATGTATTACCAAAATTACAGGAAAAAGACAATTTTAAATTTCAGAGATAATGTAGATTCAATATTGTTTAATTCTTGGTATACTAAGAAACTAGAAAAAAGTGAGGCAGATGAAAAGTTGCGGGTAGTTCAGAAAGCTGCAGAAATCATTAGAGAAGATATACGTGCTGCCGTATATGATTGCAGCGTTTATCCACCCGCAGAAAAATCCTCAGTTTTATGCAATATTCCTAAAAGTTTAGACACGCTACTGGAGACAATTATGAAATTAAAAAATTTAGAAAATGAGCGCCACGATATGAAAAAGGCAGCTATAGGTCAGGCAATAATAAGCGCATGTCGACCAAGGTCATTCATATCTCCAATTTTACTTGGTATTGGTGTATATGTCCATAGAGAATTTGGCTCCAGGCAGATCGTGGACTTCCTAAACAATTGGGGATTTTCGGTGACCTACAACGAAACATATCGATATCAAAACTGCATAATAAAAGACAATGTCGAGACGGTTGCCAGCGAAAATAGTCTTGTCCAGTACTGCTTTGATAACGCGGATTTTAATATTGAAAATCTTACTGGCCATGGCACATTTCACAGTTTCGGAGGTATTCGATTGACTACTCCTTCGCCACCTGCAACACCAAAATCGATTGCTCGCCAAATTGACATTGTTTCTTCTACAGCAACAGCAGAGAAAGATGACATTTCCATCAGTTGGTACAAAGCACCAAAGACACTTCCATTGAAAAATGTTATAGTAAGAGACATTAAAATCGATAATACAGAAATGAAAAATTTAATGAAATGTGCCAAAACTTTGGATCTATTATGGTTGTCTAGCAACTGGGCAGGTATATGATGATATTTAGTATGAATATCGTTGTTTGGTACAATTTGATTTTTGGTTTTTAGGAGTCGACAAACCACCATCCTGGGGAGGAGCGATGAAACTAGCGCTAAGTGGATACGTGGAATGTGAAAAAACAAGTGTTACAATTTTACCTTTTATTAATATGTCTCCAACTGATCCAAGCACTATTTATTCTGCTTTGAAGTTTGCTTTAAAAGAAACTCGACAGCTGGGGCAAGAGCACTGTATAGTAACTTTTGATCAACAATTGTATGATAAAGTGGTTAAAATTGTAGACTCTGAGCCTCAGACGTTCAGAAACATATTTGTGCGTTTGGGCAGCTCCGTTAAGCTGCCCCCCCCCCCCGAATTGATTTTCATTACCAAAATGCTGGCACAGGTAAAACATAGCTAGCACAATCTAGCACACCAATTTTTAACGCTAGCACACCCATAGTATCGGGGTGGGCCAGGTTATCGCTAGCCCCCCCCCCCCCCCCCCCCCGGTTGGATTTACTCAGCCAACATGCTGGCACAGGTAAAAGATACCTAGCACACCATTTTTTAGAGCTAGCACACCCATAGTTTAGCAAAAAATTGATTTCGAATTCGAGGGGGGGGCAGGTTAACGCTAGCCCCCCCTGGTTGGATTTACTCAGCCAAAATGCTAGCACAGGTGCAAGATACCTAGCACACCATTTTTTAGAGCTAGCACACTCATAGTTTGGCAAAAAATTGCTTTCGAATTCGGAGGGCGTGGTTAAGGCTAGCCCCTCCCCGTTCTATTGGATTTTCTTCGTCAAAATGCTGGCACACATTAAACACACCTGGCACGTAAAGAGATTTGCTGTTCCTACTCTACCTTACTGAGCTACTTTTTTGTTTTTGAAAATTTGCAGTGAAAAGTGAAATTTTTTTTGAGGTAGGTACCTACAAGCTGAAATATTGATACCTTCAAGGGCGTCAGAACTCAGGCAGAAGGAGCAAAATTTTGGAAAGACCTTTCTGGTTTCATTGTTTTAGCAGATTAACGTGAAGTAGATAATCAGTTTCAAACCTTGACGCTTTGTCCCCGAATTAAATACATACTTTGATGATTTTTTAAGGTAAATACTAACCCGGGTTTTAATTTCGTTGAATGGTTTTGATAGGCGAGTAGATTTATAATGACAATCAAACTTTTTAAGAAAATTTTTATTCATCAAATCAAAGAAAACAAAAGAAAAATAAATTACCACACAAGTAGGTAAGTATTTAATGAAAAAATTCAAAAATGAAACATATTATTGCTTAAAAAAAAAATAAAACAAAGAGCTCAATTTAAAAATATACAGGGTGTCCCAGCCGAGAGTGACCCATTTTAAATGCTTATAACTTTTGAACTAGGTGTGGTAGCTACCTGCGGTTTGTGCCAATCGATTTCTCTTGGCCTAAAGTTTTTTTAGTAGTTTGCTAATTTTTCTGAAACTTATACAGGGCGAGTAAAAAAAAAAACGTCGAAATTCTCCACTATTTCTAATGGAACACCCTGTATATCACCACGTGAAAAAAAATCATGTTCAAGTTATCCATATACCTATAGACATCGTCCCTGAAACTTGAAGTTTCAGTCGTAAAAAATCAAAATCTTAATCTTGGTATTTTTGCAAATGCATGCAAATGCTTGATATCACTATGATACAACATAGATATCAATTAAGTTAAAATACATTTTCCAAGAAAACTTAACTAGTTCCAGACTATTTTCTCTAGAACACGTTAAATAGAGATACCCCAACAGTAATGGTTTGGTGTGCAATCTCTATTGAGAAAAAATACAGACCATTTTCATTAATGAACCAACGATAAGAGAAACTGTATACACTGATATCAAAGTCTAAAGATCCTCGAACAAGTCCGGTCACTCCTTTGATCTCCTCAAAAAGCCGGCATTTTTTGCGGAAGGTCGTAAATCATGTCAGCACGCGCCGATTTGTAGATAAGAAGCAAATACGAGGGCGCTGGTCCCGATTGTACTTGGTAATGTTTTTACAGAGGGAGTTTGAAAAAGAATGTCTTTTAAGAATATTTACGTTAATAATTTTTTGGTTTTAAAAAATTATGGAAAAACTTTTTCTGCTTAGCGATTAGCATTAAATTAATTGACGGATAATCCTAATAATTATTGTTACTCAATTAATTTCATATTATAAAATCAGCGGTAAATGTTGCTTAACATCACGTTCTGGTAGTAACTTTGATGGAATAGCAGTTTTTAATGAAGGTTTTCCTACAAGCGTGCAGAAAACGAGTTTTCAAGCATCGATTTGCGTGCGGAAAGTATCACTTTTTCGCACAGAGTGCGTGAAAAAAAAAAAAAAAAAAACAGACCGGCGTTCGCGAGAAAAGTTTTTCCACACAGATTTTTTTTTCAATTTTTCTCCTTATGTCATGCTTCTGAGAATTTTTTTTTTTTTTTTCGAAATTACGTTCCTCCGTACTTTCTCTTCAAGAAAGATATTAACTTTTTGTACTGACCAATATCGACATCTTCAATGAGTTTTACCTACGAACATGTGGAAAGTGCGCTTTACCGCACCGATTCGCAAATAGAAAGTAGCACTTTACCGCACACTATGCGGTTGAGTTACTTTACCATATAGTGTACGGTAAAGTTAACTTCACCGCATAGTGTGTGGTAAAGTAGACTGCAAAGTGTGAGATAATAGTTATTTACCTAACAAATGCGGAAAGTGATACTTTACCGCACGCAATGGCAGTTGACCGAACGACGCGAAGCGGAGTTCGGTCAAGCCGTTAAGGGCGGTAAAGGCACTTTCCGCATATGTTAGGTACAAAATTTTACCTATGAGCATCTACATCTCCAAAAAATGGCATTAATAAAATTAATTAATGAATCAGATTACTTAATGAAATTAGATTAGATTTTAGAAATGATCAAAAATCCATTTCCTGAAAAAGAAAGGATTTTTAATCATAAATACCAATGTCTACTTTACCGCATACTATACGGTAAAGTTAACTTTACCGCACACTTTTCAGTTCATTTTACCGCATACTATGCTGTAAAGTTAACTTTACCGCACACTATGCGGTAAAGTAACTTCACCGCATAGTGTGCGGTAAAGTGCCACTTTCCATTTGCAAATAAGTGCGGTAAAGTGCACTTTACCGCACGCTCGTAGGTAAAGTTACTTTACCGCATAGAGTGCGGTAAAGTAGATTTTGATATTTTTAATCAAAAATCCCTTCTCTTCATCTAGGAAAGGGATTTTTGATAATTTTAAAATTTAATCTAATTTCATTAATTAATCTGAATCGTTAATTAATTTTATTACTGCCTTTTCTTGGAGATGTAGATGGTCATAGGTAAAAATGTTGTGCCTAACACATGCGGAAAGTGCCTTCACCACCCTTAACGGCTTGACCAAACTGCGCTTGCGTGCGATAAAGTATCATTTTCCGCATTTGTTAGGTAAATAATAAATAATTAATTAAATAGTATTTTTGATACCCATTAGAATAATTCCATCCTTATTTATCAATCACGAATTAGATGAAATAAAATATTACCAAGAAAAACGAACTTCGATTGATAATACGTCAATAATTGACGTATTAGCAATCGATTTCATGTACAAATAGGAAATTATTTTTATTTGTGTGTTCAAGAAGCGCCATACGTTTAAAAATTCTATACTTCTAATTCCTAAAAAATCAAATTTTTGACCATTTCTTTTAGGATTAGTAGATCCAAAAACAAATAAAAAAAACAATATGTCAATTTCCGCACGCTCGTAGGAGAAATATTGTACCTAACACGAGCGTAAAGTATCTTTTCCGCACTAACGGCTTGCCGCTGCGTGCAGAAAAGTATAAGTTTCCGCACTTGTTAGGTGAATAACTATTTACGGACAAAGTGAATGAGTTTTCATTAAAGTGTGCAGAACATATTCTGACAATTCTGTTAGCCGCTTCGAGTGTTAATTTTGTGTGCTTATCTATGTTCTGCAACAAAGCCTAAAATGTCTTTCCATTGCTGACACCTTAAAAAATATATGATTGCGTTTTAATTTTATCAAATCGCAAAAATTTCGAATAAAATTTACTACACTTTTTGCTTGGCGCACCCGATATAGAACGCGATACAAGCCACCCGGTAACTGAAGGCATAGACCCTCTTGAGCAGGGAAACCATAGGCTAGAAGTAGCGCGTCGGCAGGAGGGGAATTTTAGGCGACGAGCGAGAGTGAGCGGACTTGTTCGAGGATCTTTAGACTTTGCTGATATGTTCTTTTTCCCACAGTTAAGACAGGAGGGTATCTTGGATGAACATAAACATATACAGCACTTTGTATAGTTTTATGTGGTTTTTATTAACTTTTTATTAGGCGCCAAACAGAAAATGATTTTTGCGAATAGACTTTCAAATAAATATTAAATATTATTATTATAAAAATAAATAAAAATCTCGAGCCCTCCACCACGTCAAATTATAGTGATGACGTAGGCAGCGTGTCGTTTCTTGACGTAGGGCCGGTTTCTCAATAGCGAGTGACCTCCGGGTTAGTTTTAACTCCAGGGTACACGTGTCCAGTTGCTATGTTTACCCTGGAGTTATGCTTAACCCGGAGGTGACTCGCTATTGAGAAACCGGCCCGTAAGGTGTTGGCACCACAGGTTAGATTGCCCTTATTTTTGTTTTATGCATATTTGGTTTTTAGTACATTATTCAAAATTCTAAAGAGAACCCTTATTTAGATCTTGTTTGCATCTACCTCTTTGGCTATTATGTTAAAAAAAAATTAAATAATATTTTTCATCATAAATGTTTATTCCTAACCACGACCACTGACGCAAACCGCTAACGACACCGTTGATGACGTCGACAACGGTGCAACGCCAGATGAACTTGATTCCAAAAATCGAGGGTGATGAGCAATCTTGTAGTAGTGTGTAATATCCTTGGTGTAGCCTAGCAGAGCCGCTTTCCATTGACGAATTTTTAAGGTACTCCACACCCGTAGCTTCACACTCTGGTGCTCCAAACAACTGTTGTGTCACTGGAACGCACCCCACTTTAAGCGTCGTGTTTTTGATGCACCAATAAAATTGCAAGTGCCTGAGAGGGCAGGGGAGAGGAAAAACGAACAGTTCAGTGGCACGAGACTCTAATGCACTGGAACGCCTATAAACAGCCCGGGGCGCTCTAGAGCAGCTCAGAAGTGCTTAAAATGCGTCACTGGAAAGTAACTCTGAGTTTAAAAATGCGCGTTTTTCAAC